GGTCACGCTCTCAGGTCACTGAGACCGCCTCTAATCCAATTTCCTTTTCAGGTACCTCCAGAAAAACCCTTCATCGGTGTGGGCAACCGGGAAGTGATAACCGCCCGCATACCTCTAACAGCATCCAAGACCACTGTATTCATAATCAACCTTCCTCTTCAATTCCTATTATTCCTCCTACATCGACTTTCAACCCTAAATTTCCTCCTTCGGCTTCCTCCTCAAGTGTCATCATAGCCAATGATTCTAGTGCTCAAAACCCTGTCCCAGGTCTACTGAAACCTCGCTCCACACTACACATTGGAGCCTTCAACGTACGCACCCTATGTCAAATCGGTCAGCAGGCTTCCTTGGCTAAAACCCTAGAGTCTCTTTCCATTGATGTATGCTGTGTCTCCGAAACACGCATACAGGATTCCAGTGTGGTCATTCACTTGACCTCACCTCGGCAAAACGGAGAGCCAACGAGATACACCCTACGTGTATCTGGTGACCCAATGGCCAGTTCTCGTGGACTGGCAGGTGTAGGGATAGCACTAAGCATGAGGGCGGAACAAGCACTGCTAGAGTGGATCCCCGTCAACAGTCGTCTATGTGCTGTTCGGCTAAACTCCCGATTACTGCTTATACTCTTGCTACCTCTACCACTACGGGATTTGAATCGACAACTGCATCTCTGTGCTAATGTGGTGTGGCAACTCGAACTGATGTACATACGTACGAAGTTCTACGTTGTTACTGACTGACTGTTCGGCTAAACGGCTCCGTAAGAACTCGGAAGGATAGGGACACACGTCGTTGCCTTTTTGTCGTTTCTGCCTACGCTCCCACTGACTGCAGCTCAGATGAAGTGAAAGATGAATTTTACAGAAAGCTATCCGAACTTCTTCAGAAAGCTAAACGCTCAGACATAGTACTCGTAGGGGGTGATTTTAATGCTCAGATAGGTAGTTTAAACCAAACAGAAAGGCATTTAGGTGGATATTTTAGTATTCCGACACAGCGAACAGATAATGGTGATCGTCTGCTGCAGCTATGCTCAGACAATCGTTTATTTTTAGCAAACACAAATTTTAAGCATAAGGAGAGACATCGTCTAACATGGCGACCCCCTACACCAAACCAACGATGGACTCAAATAGACCATATTGCCATCAGTCATCGTTGGAGAGGGTCGGTAGAAGATTGTCGCTCATTCTGGAGTACCTGCTTGGACTCCGACCATGCCCTAATACGGGCACGCATCTGCTTGCGCCTCACTGGACGCAAAAAAGCCACATTAAAAAGACCCATTAGAACTGAGTTGAGTAACGAGAAAACCAAAAGTAGGTTCCAGGAACAACTGAGGTCACACTTAGGTAGTTGTGAAGACGAGGCTGACCCAGATGTTGCTTGGAAGGGCATACAAGCAGCTGTGGAAACAGCAGTGACATCTATTAGTGACTTAAACCACAGAGTTACAAGGAACCAGTGGATTTCTTCAAGGTCTGTCACACTGATGGATTCTCGCAAACTCGTCCCATCAGGTTCTGAACATGATGAAGAGCGAAAACAAATCAGATCTAGGTTAAGAAAAAGTCTAAGGAACGACCGTGAGCAGTGGTGGGCAACGAAAGCAAAAGAGATGGAAAAGGCGGCGACTATAGGGAACACAAGACAGCTTTACAGACTAATAAAAGAAACTGGAATTAATAAGTCAAGTGTAAGTGAGATTATTTCGGAAAAAGATGATACTCTCATCTGCTCCCAGTCCAGACGTTTAGAACGATGGGCGGAACATTTTAGAGAACAGTTCAGCTGGCCTTCAGCTACTCTACAACTACCCTCCATTCCCAGACAAAGTGAATGGAACATTGAAGTAGGTCCCCCAACTCTTGCTGAAGTTGAGAAGGCTATAGTTAATCTGAAACGAGGAAGGGCAGCTGGTCCAGATGGACTGGCTCCAGAAGTCTTTAAGGATGGTGGTCCAATTTTAGCGATTAGGTTGACTAATATTTTAGCTAAGATCTGGGAGTTAGACGTTATCCCATCTGACTGGTCGCAATCACTTATCGTCCCAATATATAAGAAAGGGTCAAAATCATCCTGTGACAACCACAGAGGGATTAGTTTAACAAATATAGTATCTAAAATACTGGCCTCGATAATTATCAAACGCCTAACTAAGACTCGTGAACTACAAACACGAGAGAACCAAGCTGGCTTTAGACCTGGTCGTGGCTGCATCGACCACATATTCACCATTCGTCAGGTTCTAGAACACAGGCATACCTATCGGCGTCCGACGATGGTGGTCTTTCTTGACTTAAAAGCAGCATTTGACTCTGTAGACCGCGAGATTCTGTGGCAGTGTCTGTCATTGAAAGGCGTACCTCAGAAGTACATAAACCTTGTGAAGGCTCTTTACTCGAACACTACTAGTCGAGTCAGGGCTTATGGCGAACTGTCATCTACTTTTGCAACCTCAAGTGGTGTCCGTCAAGGCTGTCCACTTTCTCCATTTTTGTTTAACTTCATCATAGACCTATTGATGGAAATAACACTCTCGTCGACTGAATTCTCGGGTATTGATCTCCTTCCAGGAGGTCCACTTATCGACTTAGAATACGCAGATGACATAGTCCTGTTTGGTGAAGACGCTGACAAAATGCAGAGTCTTCTGGTAGCACTAAGCAACAATGCCAGAATGTTTGGGATGCGCTTCTCTCCCTCTAAATGCAAGTTGTTGCTTCAGGACTGGTCTGCGTCAACACCTGAACTAAGGATAGGGAGTGAAGTAGTCGAACGCGTTGACAACTTCACTTATCTTGGAAGTCTGATCAGCCCTAATGGGTTGGTGTCTGACGAAATCTCAGCACGGATTCGAAAAGCTCGTTTGGCTTTTGCCAACTTACGTCACCTTTGGCGGAGGCGAGATATCCGTCTATCAATAAAAGGACGAGTATACTGCGCGGCAGTCCGTTCTGTTTTAATTTACGGCAGCGAAACATGGCCATTAAGAGTAGAAGACACCCGTAAGCTACTAGTATTTGACCACAGATGCCTTAGAAATATTGCTGGCATCTGCTGGGATCACCGGGTAAGTAATAGTGAGGTTAGACGCAGGGTATTAGGGAATGATGGTAAATCAGTTGATGAGGTTATGAATCTTCATCGACTGAGATGGTTGGGCCACGTATTACGTATGCCTGAACACCGATTACCGCGACGTGCAATGCTAACCGGTGTAGGGGATGGTTGGAAGAAAGTTAGGGGCGGCCAAACCAAAACGTGGCATCAGTGCCTGAAGTCACTAACTTCTAGTCTGAGCCATGTTGGTAGATGCAGACTACTTGGTTGGGGTCCGCGTGACTTTCGTAACCAATGGTTGGAGACCCTTGGTGACATGGCTCAGAATCGATCACAATGGCGTCGGTGTATACACTCCCTGTCTTCCCTTAAACTAAGAGATTAAAATCGCTTCATATCTTTCTTTCTACGAACCAATTCTTTCTTCTTGTATTATATCTCTATATGCAATCTTTCTCTTATATATTACCACCTTTGACATAACCACGGCTATGAATCCGGTGTTCATCTTGTTGTGCTGATGCGGTATGGCAACCTGGACCGATACACATATGTGCCTGGTCCTATGTTGTAGCTGACTGACTGGCACAAATCCATGAAATCATTGACAAGTGGAATGAGCCATGTTGATAGGTGTAGACTACCTGGTTGGGATCGACGAGACGATAGCAACCGATGGTTAGAGATCTTGAATGACATGGCTCAAAATCGTTTGCAGTGATGTGCGCAGGTGTATCCACTGTTTGTGTTCTCCTAAATCCTAATCTTCTGAATTCTTCATGTCCTTTATTTTCTTTTCAAATTTATTTCACTGTATTGTACTTCTTGAATAACATCTTCAAACCCTAATTTTTCCGATTACTGCCTATACTTTTACTACCTCTACCACTACGGGATTTGAATTGACAATTGTATCTTTGTGTTAATGTGATATGGCAACTCGAACTGATGTACGTAAGTACGAAGTTCCACGTTGTTACTGATTGACTGACTGAGAGGTACTTGAAAAGGAAATTTGGTTAGAGTTGGTTTTTGTGACCTGAAAAGATAAGCACACTACCCAAAGGACAACTGCTTGAGGTCGGTCACAAGACGTTTTTGTGGGTACTTTTTGTGTTAACTCCGTACTTAATGAGACGTTACTGACGGATACGGATATTCGTGGGATAAGGCGAGGTGTGCATTTTTAGTGTCGATCTTTTCTAACCCCACCCTTCTTTTATGGGAAGGCAGCATCGCTGTCATGCTGGTTGTCTAAGGGAAACACTTTACTGCCGTCACAATTCTGTGCATTCAGCAGTACGACTTTACCCTCGGACCTTGAATTTACTGCTTTTAGTCTTACCGTTCTTCAACCGACCTATCTGACATGGTAGGACCTTGAGGAACGATCGTTCCAGCCTGTATAGCCCGATTGGTCTATCACGATAGGCAAGCTCGGCTACCACATCAAGGTATCAGCAACGGCGGGTTAAAGTGATGTGCACTCCGGAGAAACGCCGAAATGCCCTGTTAACTAAACGTTAATTAGGTTGGTTGATGAAGTACCTTGTTAACCAAATGCAATACTTATTATTACTAGTTAGAACATAAATAATAAATAATCCGTTCAGTCAATTGGTATATTTTAATAAGCATCCGTCAAGCAATTATGTAAATTACCTCATCAGCCAACCTAATCAATGTTTAGTTACCAAGAGCATTCGGTGTTTTTCTTTAGTACACATCGCTTTATGTTATTACTTAGTTATGACTTCACAAGTGCAGACTGACTTCGTTATCCTAGGATGCTCAATCCTACAAACAAGTCATACATGATTTTTTATAGGTAACAAATTCTAGACGTAATATATTTCAAATCAATATTTTTTACCGTTCTTGTTTCTAATCATCTTATGACATCATCCTTGTCTTAATCTCATGTTTTTCAGGTAACTTCGTATAATTTATCTAGTGGCAAACGAATTCGAGGAGTGTTAGTTGTCCTTTCGTATATGGTGTTCAGCAATAAAAATGAAAACTCTAGGAAAAACTTGTCGTGTGCATATCTTATTGGTTGGTGTGTCGAATTGGTAAATATTTTAGTTTCCTCAATTGACTTTTTTGAAGTTAATTCCCCTTATATCCTGATATTAGTCAAAAACATCCGTGAAAATCACGGTCATATTGTTAATCCATGTACCAATAGAGTTACGTATTATGTACGTTTCCCCACAAGATTGAACTCAATGCTTTTAAATTCATTGGTAATATTATTGATTTTTGGACTAGTGACTGAGGCTCTCAACCACCGTGATGTTATCCTAGTATTATCAGCCTTTTAACTCGGATTTCGTTCTCAAGTTGGAGGTTGATTAGTTTCAGGTGATCCATTTAAATTAGAATTTATTTCTATTCATATCACATATACCTTCTGGTACAGCATGCCACTAAAAAAGAGCCACACGAACTGGATTAAGAAGTTTTGACTTCTGGGAAACGAACATGGTATTCTGCGGCCTCAGTAGCACTTATTTCTTCATAAGATAAGTCGTAGTGTCGCAGATTGATTATTTACTTAATGACAACAATCGAAATCAGACTATGGGTCATAAGTTAGTAATGATGATAGATGCCCGAAAGCCCTATATGTAGCTATTAAAATGGAAACGTATGCATACTGACAACCATTCTCAGAAGTTGACAAGACGCCGGTCAGTGTACCCCATTTCTAAGCAGTAGTATGTTTTACGTGAGTCTATAATCGCGTTAAAATTGACTGTTTTCTATCCAATGACTTAAAGTTTCTTGTTTTGTCTGTGCCCTAGTTACACGCAGGATTCCTTGTTTTGGATGATATAATTGACAATTCTACACTTAGACGGGGCCAACCGTGTTGGCATTGTACTCAGATAGATTTAAACCGTGGGTTAATTGGAGTTAATGATGGTTTACATCTGATTTTATCATCGAAATACTTGATCCACTCTTTATTTGCTGAGAATCAAAGTAATGTTGATTCATATTCATGGAAGGACAAAAATAACGTATATCTCAAATTATGCAAATTGTTTGATGAAATTAGTTACAAAACGTGTTCTGGCCAATGCTTGGATGTACTATCAGCAAATCCTAATAATCAATGTATTTTGAACGGAAAACAGAATAATTTGGAGTTTGATAGTTTTGCTCGAAACTACTCACCAGATGTCTTTGAAGCTATAACACACTGGAAGACGGGTTTTTATACTTTTTATCTACCTGTAGCGTGTGGAATGATTTTGGTAAGTTAACTTAATTATTTCTGTTTCATTTATTATCTTCTCTTATTTATTAAGGTTTTTAAACTGCAAAATGTACATTTTTACTTCGTACATCAATTGTTAGACTGAATAACTTTCGTAATAAAAACAGTTGTGTAATATACTTTATATAAAGATCAAAGTTTTTAAAATTTGTTTTAGTTCTAACAAAGTCATTGTTTGTAATCACCAATGTTATCTAGCCTTCATACTTATGAAAACTGAATGCATTTAAGCCAATATAATTGATTTTAAGCCATATCACTTAAATTTCCCATTTATTCAACTCAACTTACCAGCCACAGGTTTTTGTCCTTCGTTCCGAGTCCCATTCTACGTCTGAAGACTAGTAAAGCTGCCTAGTTGCTCGAACTGAAATAGATAGAGTGGCGTTCAAACCTGCAATCTAGCGGCTGAGAGTCAGAAGCTTTAACCACTGAACTACGCCTTTTTACGTTATTAGCATATAAGGACCTGTGATCCCATATCATAAATGGTCATTATATTACTGCTATTAACAAGTCCCATAACTTATTAAAACCTTCATAGTAGATTACCTATATACTGAGCAGCTGAGATCCTCATTCTTCTCAACAGAAGAAAGGATTTCAGTATTATCTCATAAATGCTGCCTTCAAAATTTTATATATTTTCATTCATTATTTAAGTTGAATAAACCGATTAAAAACGGTGGTTATACTTCTTGTCTTTCATCTTGTTTGTTAACATCAAAGAAGTAATAGCATTCTGTTTAATATACAGTTTTCTTTGAAATTTTTTCTTAAAAATAGGCTGAAGTTGATGATACAGATGATATTTTCAAAAATGTTCAATACATCCTCCTTAAATTGGGTAACTACTTTCAAGCCCAGGTAACTAAAATACTTTAAAGTCATTTCACAGTAGGATGACTATTTAGATTGTTTTGGTGACAGTGAAATTACTGGAAAAGTTGGGACTGATATAGCAGAAGGCAAATGTACATGGCTAATTGTTGAAGCGTTAAAATACCTTTCACCTGAACAATATAAAATACTTAAAGTAAAAGGAATTTTCTTTCATTTTAAAATTATCTTATCGTCGAAATAAATTGAGTTTGTATTTTTTGGATTGTTACATCCCATCATTATCTCTTTTTTATTGTATGACCGTAGTTATGTTTCTTATTGTGGATTACTTCATATATTATATGTTAGTTATACACCTTCAGCTACGTTTTATCACGAGGTATTAATCATCAAAGTATAAGACACCCGACTGTGTAATAATATAAAGTCGGTTATAAATATTGAATAAGATATCCCAAGCACCTTGTGACTATTGTTATTTTATAATATATTTATCAAGTCAACTACAGAATTGAGCTGCTGCTTATTAAGTTAATATAACTTTTACAAAATTTACTTTTGAATGCCTTCAATCTACCATAACACCTATCCATCAAAAGAAAAATGGTGAACGTCTGGTTAATCAGTTAACATGTAGAAGTATGCTTGTAAAGATAAATGACGATGACAAATGGTTTGCTTTCATTTAAGCTTGAAGGTGTCACTTTACAAATCAACCCTAATGGGAAGTTGTTGTTGAGTATGAATAGACTTCCAATAATTACTAATAGATTACTACTTACCATAATTTTACATTTATCTTTTTTCCACCGTATCACTACTTTGTGCCCATAATAGGGTTATTGATATTTTCGGTGTTTTGTCTTCCTGTTTTCAGTGTTATGTTTATACACAGTAGCTGCATATTTAATAAATCTTGATGAGTCTAGTAAACTTGGGAAACTTGAGGTTAAGTAAAAGAATACTATGTATTTATTCATTATTAACGTTAATTAGTACTGGAAGTATTCACGTTTATTACCAAGTCATTGAACATCCAATTGTTTCTTCATAACTTTGTTTACGGTCGCCTTGTCAGAACGCGAGATGTGCCCTCACATTATATTTGAATATGGTTCACTTTGACGCACCAAACTGGTCTTTCCTTGTGAATTTATCACAAATTTATTTCCTAGCTGTGTTTGCGTCTGTCTGTTACCCGTATTCCTCCCACCCGTTTCTAAAAGCAAATTCCTATGATCTATCGATAACTACAGTGATCATTATTTTGCGTATTGATCCATGTCAGTACAAAACACTGACGTATATCCTAAAATAGTCATAATTTTTTTGACATCGATATATGCATAATGAGATTGCGACTGCTATTCCCAAGACATATTCCATGAGTATATGATATTTGGCCAATATCTAGTTTTGTTCCAACTGTTTCTTTTATTCGTTCCTACTTTGATGGATAGTATTTTATTAGTTTCTTTTTTAAATTTACTTCTGAACTGGCTGATGCTTTATCAAAATCATATGAAATTATACTGCTTACCTACACTTAGTCCATTCAAAATTGTTGTGTACCGCTTGCAAGTTTTAATTAAAACTTTACGGTAACTATCTTAGTTAGTCAAGTAACTTTATTTACGCCATTTTCAAAATTTTGGTCTTTCCTGTGATTCATGTGTCAGGTTGTATTTTGTTGTAGCTTTTTACGTTCTTAAACACTTCCATTTCTTAGTTATTCCCGCACAGGTCACACGGAATCTTCGTTTTGTCATATCCTAGTTTGAGTACTTTTAATGTGTAGATAGAACTACTATCTTCAAACGTTCAAATGAAGTCCTTTAGTAAATTTAAGGAACTATAATCGAAAATCTTTTTATGCTATGTGGTCTATTATTGAATATTGTAAATTTACCATATTTTATTCCATTCCTATGTTCTTCGTCAATATTCATGAACCAATATACTTCTAATTTAACCAATCACCTTATGTTATTGAATACCTGGATTGTATGTTTTCAGTCTTTCATGATGTTAATGCCTGTACATAAACAAAAAACAACTACCCATCACTAATTTTTGAATGAAAATGATAAGAATCTATTCATCACTCCGTTCATCTTGGTATTCGTATACTTTTATACTGGTACGAATATTGGAAAAGTTGTAAATGTTGGAACCAGTTTTCCAATCATTACTTATATTTTTATTGTTGCATTTGTATATTCCCCTTATTGTGAGCTCCCAGTAGACCTAGTAACCATTGTTTTGAATCCTCCCGTTTCTCAATTATTATCAATTAATTATGCATTATTAACCTTGCTCTCTGCCATTTACGCCATGATTGTGTTTAAAATATAATCTCTTATTTTTTGTGCTGTATGGTCAGGCATTTCAAGTATATTATTGAGTTTTGAGTGATAATTGAATTGGGCACAATAGATAATAAATCTACTTCCTATACGCGTCTCCTAATTTGCTACTTGGTTAGATGGAGCTCGACGGTCAATAAGCATTGAGGTCTTGGGTGTTGTTCATTAGTCAGTGTGTCTTGGTAATTATTAAGTCACCGGTCCTATTGGGAATATGGGTGAACTAATCTGTAATCGGAATTTTAATTGGGCAGTATAACACATATTATCGATTTGCGTATCGATTCATAATATATGCCACCAGTTATTCAGTTGTCAAGATTTAGTCAAATGCTTGGGTTTTGACGTATACAAGTAGTATTGTCAAATAATAGATGAAATGTTGGTGTTGTGTTGTGTTGTGTGATGCGGTAGATAAGTGTACGTTTATCATTGCTTAGACCATTATTTTTATTTTATTTTTTTATTAAATTTACATGGCAGAACTGAATTTATTTTGTTTTACTGACTGTCAAAATTGTGTATTTAATCATCTTATATACATGTTTCTAACTGTAGACAAATTATGGTAAACCGGATCTTAAGTCGCAACAGACTGTTCGCAATCTCTATGGTGCGATCAAATTACCAGAGAAGTATTATTTGTACGAAGAACAAACTAAATCAGAGATTATGAATAACATTCAGAAGTTTATGTACCTTGATCACTTTTCTTTTGATCCTAGGGATTTGTTTACATTTCTTGTAGAATTACTTTTTCAACGTGTTTGTTAAAGTGCCATGAAAATATTTCATATTTTATTCCCCATACTGTTTCGTCAATTTTCTTTACTTACGTCTTTTCTATCTCAGTTCTCTTCTTCCATTTCTTCTTAGTTCTACAATTCCGTCTTTACTTTTATCGTTATGACAATTTTATTTAAAGAATTCCCCTTCTTACATAATTATGGTGCATTTAAGTCTTCGTCAACATAATTTTGTCTAAAATATTTGTTTGTTTTCTTAAAATACTGACTTTAACAGCTTAGTATTATATATATTTATATTTCCGAATTTATTTATGTATTTGAACACGTAAATATTGCTACAAAAGGATACTGAATACATATGCGCCACACAATTCACTTGATTTGTATGTGGGTTGTGATACTGCCTGGGTACCCAGGTGGCATTTTAGGGTGCCACATCCGGAGCCTTCGACCTAAAGGTTTGATCCACAAGGCAGTGGAGCAACGTTAGGAGATGCCATCCCATGGTAGCCAGTGACCAACAATAGGTTCATATGCCATTTGTTCCTTCAGGATCCTGGAGCCCATGTGCACTATTGGTTTGTAACCAAAGTTTTTCAACTCCCCTAAGTGGATCATCCGTAATCATCAACATGGTTAAAGTGCCGGACATTCGCTTTTCGTCCTCTCAATTTCGTAGGACTTCCCTGGCAGAGACTATGCACATATTCATGTGTGAGTATTTCGAGAGGTAGAGCGGACTCTCCCCACCCTCGGCCGTACCATGGCACTTGGGAGCTCCGAATGAATTAAAACAGCATATTGCTTTTCATAAAGGAAAATCTGATTACGCACTAATCATTGTAAGTAATTTAATTTCTTATTTTATATTCCTTTATGGGTAATAATTATCAGTCTCCAAAATATTTAACTAAACTACCAGGGTGACAAAATATTTGTACTACGAATTAATATCGCATACAGATTATACTATGTAGTAGAATTCTAGATGATTATTATACTCCTAGTACTGAGCGCACACATTTTCTCACGTAATTTTGTTAGTAAACTGATTACTTATGGATAACTAAGTGTCTTGATAGCTATGCTATGCAGTTAGCAATACTCCAAAGTTTGCAATTTTAGATGTCAGATGAATGGACTAAGTCCATTTTCATTTTGTTAATTGCTTGGAGGTGGATTACGTACATTTGTAGTCACAACTTAGTCGGATATCTTATTCATTTTATTTTTATAAGTTTATAAACAGCAACTTCAACATTAAATCTTTAGATTCCAGTAGCAGCTTTAGGAATAATTAAAAGTTATAAATACAACAATATTCCAATGGACGCATTCGTCTCGTGGGTACCACGTTTCATGCACTATTATTATGACCTTACCGTCAATATTTCAATTTTCAAACCGGTCTTGAGTGCACAAACAAATATCACTCAAAAAATCACAATGGCTCCATGTCATCACATACCATAATTAAAATGACATAACTACCGGAATATATCAAACGAATTATCAATTAGTGTTGAGACATGCGTGGCTTGGCAATTTATGCGCCGAGAACTGTGTCGAGTATGCAGGTGACAAACCCCTATATGTATAACATTTTGCCTACCGTTATTACATTTCGTCTTGACAACAGATCTAAAATTAGGCTGTGATTTGATAAGAAAATATTGGTGAAAATAGGATGCAGTGTAGTTTTTATGAATAGTCTGGATCGTAGATTTGGAAGTGTGACAATACTTACATATGATTAACAAGGTAGTTGAAACATTATGTGGACGAAATAACTAATTCTTAAAGGTATTTATTGAAAAGTACATTAATCTGAACACTGAGGATTGATAGTCTGCATAATATCTAGTGATGTGACGGAAGGAAGGTATTGTTTACGACTAATTCTGCCTATTATGAGATGGCTAGTACAAATGCTGAAATAATCGACGGTCGCGTTCGTTGAACCAACCAGTGTCTCTGTAAAATATCAAGATCACTCATTAACTACATGATTTACATATCTTTTTCTACATGCTCCATTTTTCTCCCAATTCCGTTGTTATTTTTACTAAGTTCTGTTTTTGTTCCTCCTTTGTTCGAATCTTTTGCTGGTAAGCATTTGAGTTCCTACTACATACTACTTGTATCTATACGCATAAATAGCGCATACCACTCTGGTAGTTACGACCAGTTTCATAGCATCCTTAAGTGTGTTTTTACTCAAAGTAGACTTACTAGGGACATTATGTTTTGTGTACAATTAAAACCTGCTGAAAAAATAAGAGGAAATAGAACTCCGATTTCTTTATTTAAAGAACTGATCCTCGGATGAATCTGCATTTTCAGTTTGGTAGAAATTTTCACAGGCAAATATATGGTGTTGCTATGTGATCACGAAAACGACTCGTTCGTTTGGTAAGTGATATTCCAAAGTACCTTAGTCTCGCACGCGAACGCCTAACCTCTAGACCACTCAGTCAGCATCCAGCGGTGTTAATGTCTAACTTCAATCGATTCATGATCTTGCGCAACTATTCATCTATCGTCTGAAATAGATACCTGTCTCCTCCCGACACAGATCGGAATTCACTGGTCACGGCTTCTAATTAGAACTCCAAGAAATCAGCTTGAAGTCACACACTAGTGAGCACATGATGACAGTGATCAGAATTAGAGTCTTGTGGAGACTGTAATAATCTTAATAATAGAGTATCAGATACACTTTAACTGTAAGAACGTTGCACTTGTATTGCCAATACTTGAATTCACATATCAATCAGACCCTCCTTATTCACTGCTTATGCTGTCTAATTATGTGATGGTTTTCACCTCTTCGTGAGCTCCGCCAATCAAAATGTAATACTTGCCAAAAATAATAATAGGAAAAATAACGGGCTCACCTGTTAACTTGAAATGTATATTTGACGTGGAGATTATGTGCACAAATCACGTTTGAAATAAAATATTTTCTTGATGTTATGATGTTTTCGTTTCTCCTACATGAGACCTGTATTTTTGGTGCTGAGTGAATTCACTCACTCTCCTCAGTCATGTGCAAAGTAGATGTGGGAAGTGACAGGTGGACTCGGTGTTGAAACTAACTACATAAACGGCTAGTCCCAGATCGCCTAACGACAGAAGTAAATCTCTCACCCGACATCATTTTGGATACTTTTTTTCTACCCGTAGTCTCTGTATGGTAAGAAGTACAATGACAAGTCGATCTTCGTTCCACTTTTTTTCTACCCGTAGTCTTTGTGTGGGAAGAAGTACAATGACACGTCGATCTACGTTCCGGCAGGCAGTCACTACGACAACGAAGACGAACTGTCAGCATGTATGTAGACCCAAAAAACGTACGCTATTAAAAAGGGAGGTGTTGGGGATGACAAATGCTTAGAACTGACTCGGTAAACGTCTTATTTTTGTAACTTTATTCTGGAAATTTTAACTTCATATTTTCGCGCCAAAAGAATCTTCGACTTAGCTAGTGGTCTTCGCAGGCAAAGCGTGTGGAACTAGCTATCTTTCCAGATTTTTCGGCTAATCTGAGAAAACGTGATAAAATTGAGTGACATGCATCAGACAAAATATTTGTCTGTATTTACCATAAACCTATACGGTGAATTCTTGCAACAACGACTAACTTTGAAGGCAAATCAGACTACTTCAAATAGTTTACTAGGTGATCTATCATTTTTGTGCATCGTTTTAATTCATTTAGACTAATCATATTTTAGTGGCCCATGGATCTGACTCCAATTTAGATCATATAAATGTTTGTTATCGCCTATTCTCGTATATCATCGTCGACTTAATCGCGTTATCCAATAACGGAATTAAATAAGTCGACTAACGAGAATTGACTTGAGAATACATATATTTCGTACATGAAGCGAATGAAACATAGCAAAGCAAAATGACACGTATGGAAGATGGCTGGGAAGTCAACTCCATTTTAGTCAAGCGTTACTCAATATTTATAGTCAGAAAAAATAAAGCTACAGACATGTGATTAATGGGATAAGAAGGGCACATACATATACGCTCATATAAAAACAGTCTAGATTGATAAGCGAATAAATATCAAGGTCAAAATATGGCTCGAGTAGAATGAATAAAATGGGATGTCCGAAAGTTAGAATAAGGTATATGGGCTTAACATAATAACTGACACTACAATATATAATATCATGGAAGCATCACTCCAAAACTCTTTTAATGAGATACATTCAGTTGTTTAACAAGAAAACATACTACTGTACAAATGTATGTTGTTTTTAGATGAAGCATTTTAGATTAAACAACAACTCAACACCTAATATTGGTTCTCATTTCCACTGTCATAAATACCATGCGCTACGTTAACAAGTATTTCTGGAACATGATTTGTAATTTAATGAGGCAACTTAAACCCACTTACTGTTACGGATAGTAAACGCTGAAAATGCCTTCACAGCATTTCATTGGACACTGTTGTCATTCATTTGTTCCTTCTCCCTGTCTTGTATCTTGACCTTCATTTACGTCTCGTTTTAACCACACATAATGTTCTTCAGTCTTTCGTGTCGAGGTTTTGCTTATCTGGTCTCGGTCAAAGATTTACCTTTCATTACTTAATTTACTATTGCAACTTCCCGAACTACTGACAATAAAGTCATGTCTGGTTAAAATCAAGGTCGTGGAGTTGCTCATTGAATTGCTGTTACTTTTTTATTGTCTGCTTGGAAAGTTTACTGGAATCCCTGAAGATGAATATCGGATCCCATCGTGTTAAGGATGTTCTTATTGATCCCCGGGAATCGAATTACTATTTATTAGCTATTCCTTTTTTGTTAAGCGCTTAAATTTGCGTTAGAGAAACCCTTGACTATAAATCACAGGTTATACCTTTCGGGGTATTTCTATATGATTTGTCCTCGCTCGTAAATTATAATAGTCTAAACCGGACGCAGCGTTTGTGTTTTGAATTAAGTTGATACGAGTCACTCAAAATTCTCCGGACGCCGTATAGGAGGACGTAGTTTGACTTGCTCGAATAAACTTTGGTTCGTTAGTTCGGAACGCAAACCGAATATTGCTATTTCGGTCGTCACACCACCTTTTTCAAAACATTTATTTTGCTTGCTAACATTTTTGGATCGATAAACGTAGATGTATTCTGAAACATTAAAAGCACTCAGGATCTAAGGCAAAACTACTGCGGTGTGCAACCAATATATTTACTGCACAGCTAAATTTTTTGTGTTATGTTTGATAACATTAGTGCACAGTAAAGTTACGATTCATACTTACAATATTCCCACTATAAATTACAAAAATCTAAAGACAGTTATTTCGCTCATATGAACTCATATTCGTTAACCGCAAGAAT